GGTGTGCTGTTTTGTGTTCTTCTCTTGACTAGTTGAGGTGGCTGTTATGCCTCCTACGGTTCGATTCCATTGTCCGTTTGTTGGTCTTAATGGGTGTCAGGATGGTGGGGGTAATGGGCTCACTAAAACTTCTTTGATCACTCATCTTCGTGACCGTCATTGTTATGCGGATGCGCGAGATATGACTCGAAGCTCTCTTGCTTCTGATTTGGCTGTTTTCTTAGAGGCGGAGTCCACTTTTCGGCGTATGGGCATTTGGCTATGTGGGGAGTGTTTCAAGACACATACTTTTCGTTCGAAGTGTCGACATGGTCGTGGTTTGGATGATATTGTGGACCCACCTGATTCGGGGGATGGTGTTGTTCGGTTTGTTCTCTATGGTTTTCCTAAACCGCAGGGTCTTTCTTCAAAGGTATCTGATCTTGTTCCTAGTGTGCCTCGCCAGCCTTTTTTGGCGTTCGATGTTGTTCTCCTAGATAGTTTGCTATCTAAGCGGTTCCGTTCGGTGAAATCTATTCCTCCTAAGTGTCGTTTGGGTTTTTCTCGGGTTCTCAAAGGAGCGCTTGATAAGGTGATTTGCAAGCCTGATGACGTCTCTTGTTGGGTTGAGCTGCTTGTGTTGCCTCTTTGTGTTCTTAAAACCTTTACCCCGAGGAGTAGTCGTGAGTGTTCTTCGGGTGTTAGGCGGCAGCGGCAGGAAGAGAGTATCACCACTGCTATTCGTTCTTGGGGCGAGCCTGGTGGTTCTGTGCATCTTGTGCGGGATACGTTGGCAGATGTGTCTCCTCCTTTGTTGGAAGCTGATGATGACCATGATTTGTCTGAGCGTAATATTAAGCAATTTAAGAGAAAGATTTGTGACGGACATTACACTGATGCGGTTAGGGTTCTTTCGTCTTCTGGTCTTGCCCCTTACAATGATGCTACTCTTGCTGATTTACAAGCTAAGCATCCTTCCTTTCCGGCTCCTATCTTACCAGATATCCCCGTTGATCAGCCCCTTATTGCTTCATGTGTTGTTGTTTTGGATCAGATTAGGGGTTTTCCGCGTGGTACGTCATGCGGTAGAGACGGCTTGCGTGCTCAGCACCTTCTGGATTGCTTGAGTGGTGCTGCAGTTTCTATTTCAGATGAGTTGGTGGGCTCTATTACGCAGGTGGTTAATCTCTTTCTCGCAAGGAAATGTCTTGCTGAGTTGGGGGAGTTTATTGCTAGTGCTCCTCTCACGCCACTTGTTAAGCTCGGTGGTGGTATTCGGCCTATTGTTGTGGGTACTGTTTGGCGGCGCCTGGTTTCAAAGGTTGGGGCGGCTTTAATTGGTCCACGTCTGGGAAACTATTTAGGAGGCCTTCAGTTTGGTGTTGGGGTGCCGGCGGGTGGTGAGGCTATTCTTCATGCTGTTAATCGTTTGGTTGAGGCGCGTGGTGGTGATGTTGGCCTTTCTATGTTGCTGGTGGATTTTAAGAATGCCTTTAAATTGGTTGATCGTACGGCTTTACTGCGTGAGGTCCGTCTCCGTTGCCCAGCTCTCTCGCGTTGGGTAGAATTCTGTTACTCTTCTCCAGCCAGGCTGTTTTATGGGGAACATACCTTAAGGTCATGTTAAGGTGTGCAGCAGGGTGATCCTCTTGGCCCTTTGCTTTTTGCTTTGGTGCTCCATCCGTTGGTTTGTCGAATCAGGGAGTCTTTCGACTTATGTTTGCAGGCTTGCTATTTGGATGATGGCACTATTATTGGTGACACCTTGGTAGTAGGGAAGGTTATGGAGTTGATTTTGGTGGAGGGACCTCGTCTTGGCCTCCATGTTAACGTTGAGAAAACGGAGGTTTTCTGGCCCACGGAGGACCCACGTAGCCGTCTGGCCGGTGTCTTTCCTCTAGATATTGCTTGTGTTGGGTTTTGTTTTTTTAGTTCGAAATTCGACAATGTACAAGAAACGAATTGAACATGTGAGAGATTCATAAATTAGTACCAGTATATACGAGTTTATGTTGAATGCCTTCAATTATTATTATTATTTTATTATTTTTTCTTCTGAATTCTTTCCCTTTCTTATTATTGGAAGTATTATTATTGTCCTATATGGGTAAAAAAAAATGTTGTGTGTTTCAAAATTTACGGCCTTGTTTAACAATAACCGTCGTAAATTACCTAATGTAATTGACATTTTCTTTGCCTTCCATATAATTGTTGGATTATTAGTTGATTTAATCGCCGATTGTGCTAGTAGTTGAGACCTGCAAGTAATTTCGTATCATGACTTTAGGTTGTCATGTTTTCCACCAAGATGATTATCTTTATCGAACATAATTAATTGTCTAAAATTATACATTATTATCGAATTTGTCATGTACAATACTATGTAATTTGATCTAGCGACTAAGATCAAATTCATATCTATTTTTATTATCTACTTATTCAAGCAAGCAAGCTACAATTTACTTTCTATAGTCATGTACAGTACTATGTATTTGTGCAGCGGTGCTGCCTCACTGTGGCCGTTGTTATATATGTACTTGCTGTTGTTGTCTCACTATGGTTGTTTTATTTTATCTTGAAAAATTATTGCCCTTGTCATTTATTTTGAGACTTGCCGGTAGTATTTTTCAAGATTTAAGTTAAAATCGTTGCCCTTGTCATTTATGTTGAGACTTCAATGTATTTTGGTACTTGCTGGCAGCAAATTTCAAGTTTTAAGTTAAAACAACCATTGCTCAGTGATGATACAATAAACGTAAATCTGAGAGCAATTTTAAAAAACAAAAATTAGTTCTGAAGTTAGCAGTTTTGTGAGCTGCTTATCTACTTTTGGTTGTTGTTCCTGCTGAGTCCCTTCTGCTTATATTGTTGCTTGCTTATGATGAGTTGCTGATCTGTTGTTGCCTGAGCTGGTTCCTGCTTGTTGCTGCTATTTCTTCTGCTCTTGGGTGATGTGCTGCTGCTTCAAGATTGTTGTTGCCTTTTGTTTTTAGGAATGTTTTTTTAGGTTAAATTTTGTTATTAGGATAATTTATTAATTTATGATCATATGTAAAATGTAAATCTTTAACTTATTTATTTTTAATATAAAATGTAGATGAAATGTATTTTTTTGGAATAATTAAAGTTATTTACTTTAAATTTATATTTATTGTTACCTTTGTTAAATTAAAGTATGTATATAATAATACTAGTATGTTACATTTGATATTAATTAAAATAAATAAGTAATCTAAAACGACATTATTCACATTAATAATGCCGTTGGACTAGGTGATATAAACCGTTGTATAAACCTAAGTCGTTTGATTAGATCTACATATTAACGTTAATTGTATTTATTTTAAATTTATATTTATTGTTACCTTTGTTAAATTAAAGTATATATATAATAATACTAGTATGTTACATTTGATATTAATTAAAATAAATAAGTAATCTAAAACGACATTAATAATGCCGTTGGACTAGGTGATATAAACCGTTGTATAAACCTAAGCCGTTTGATTAGATTTACATTTATTAACATTGATTGTATTTAGGTTGTAAATAGTTCAATTTGAATTAAGCAGTTTGTAATCGGATCAGTTTAAACTTTAAAGTTTTAAACAGGTTGCGATTCGAAAACAGTTCGATTTTAACGGTTTAAAGGGTTATGGCAGCTCGGTTTAGACGGTTAGCGGATTATAACAGTTCGGTTTAAACGGTTTTTCCTGCGGTTTAAACGGTTTTGGTTCATAAACGGGTCGGTTTAAACGGTTAGCGGGTTACAAATGGTTCGGTTTAAACGGTTTTTTCTACGGTTTAAACGGTTTTGGTTTATAAACGGTGCGGGTCATTAACGGGTTTATAAACCATTCGGTTCGGTTTTGAGCAGTTTGGTTTGTTATCGGTTTACGGTCCGTAACGGGTTGACATTAAGCGGTTCGATTCGGTTTCGGTTTGATATTGTACGGTTCAGTTCGGTTTTCGGTTTAAATTTACCGGTTTATAAACGGATCGGTCCTGATAGTTCAATTCGGTAACGGGCGGTTTCGCGGTTCGGTTTGAAAAGTCCCACCCCTAGCGATAGCATATTCCGTAGTTGATTGTAGGACATTAACAACGTATATTTGGTTCATATTTGTAATCATCCTATCTAATATCAATCATGTCATCTACAAGTTATGAGAACTTTGAGGTTAAATCGATTGCTAATCAATAAATATAAATCGGTTAGAGTTACTATTGGTTATGGATCACAACCTACTTTGGTTAATCATTTTACAAGTTACCAATTCAATTTTATGATTCTCATTAGATTTTAACAGCAGTTATAAACTAACCAACATATATTGTACAATAAAAAAATTATCGTCTAAATAAATAAAATAAAAATTGCATACATTATGAAGGGAGTTGGTTTACTTCTGTTTAAAATAGATAATTTTTCTATTCGAACCGAGTTCAGCTTAAATTCAGGTCATACGCAGCTTGATCAGGAGTCAACACCATCTCAAAGTATTACCAAATCAAACCAGAATCAACTCATGTCGACTACTTTAGGTTGAATTCTATGACATGTAAACCTCTAAACGAGATTTAAAACGACATTATTGTTATTAGCTTATGAAGCTAAAATAAACGAGATTACAAAACGACTTTATTGTTATTACATTATGAAACTAAAATAAACTAGATTAAAACGAACATTATTGTTATTATCTTATGAAGCTAAAATAAACGAGATAAAAAAAAACATTATTGTGTTATTACCTAATGAAGCTAATATAAACTTGCTTAAAAACAACATTATTGTTATTATCTTATAAAGCTTAAATAAACGAGATTATAAACAACATAATTATAATTACCTTACGAAAACGACATTATTATTGCTAATAAAAAGGACATTATTTTTATTACCTTATGAACCTAAAATAAACGAGAAAGAACGTGGTTTAATTTTAATTTTAATTTTAATTTTAATTTTAGAATTGAATTGTACATTATTCCCCCTTCAAATAAAAAGTCTGCTCTTCTTAGAGTCCTTGACAAACAAAAACTGCTCAAATTATTTCAATTTAAACCCCCAAAAACAAGCAGAGTGAGAAGGGGGAAGAAGAGGGGAGAGAGAAGCCCTAGAAAACCCTAATTCAATTCTCTCTCCATCATTCTCAACCTCTCGTTTTCAATTGATTTGTGCATTTTCTTCTCATAAACCCTAATTTTACTGTTCTTCGTCTTAATTTCTTCACCCTCAACTTTAATTCCATCAAATTGACGTTGCAATTTGCTTGGACTCCATAAATTATTTGAAATTACAGTCGCTAATTCACAAAATACTTCAAATTTAGGTTTCAGAAAAAGCTTAAAAATAGATTTAATGGAAGGATTGCCGCAGAACACACCGAGAACGGTGGAGGAAGTTTTCAACGATTTCAAAGGAAGACGCGCTGGTTTGATCAAGGCGCTCACCTCTGGTCTAATTCTCTCTCTTCTACATTTAATTTCTCTATATTTGACATACTTTTATAGTATAATTTCTTTGTTTTGATAATTAATTATAATTGGTTTTTTTTTTTTTTTTTTTTTTTTTTTTTTTTTTTTTGAATTTTTAAATTTTCAGACGTTGACAAATTTTATCAGCAATGCGATCCTGGTAAGCCGGTTTACACACTCTTACGTTTGCGCTTTATAATTTTTTTTTTTTATATTTAAATTGTTATGAGATTGAAATTTTAATTTTTGATGGTATAATTAGGCAGTTAGACTCTCTTCTATACTTGATTACGTGTTTCGGTTCTGAATTGGGCATTTTTGTTAAGTTTTTATTGATTTTTGCTCAAAATTTGCGCTTTAAATATACTCCTTCCGTATTTAAAATTTTTGCTCTATATATACTCCCTCCGTGTTTGAAATTTTCGCTCTAAACATACTCCTTCCGTGTTTAAAATTTACGCTCTAAATATACTTACCTTCCTAAAACTCTGTGAAAATCAAAACGTTTTTTTATTTATACACAGAGGGAGTAGGTTATAATGGAGTAGTTATCTTATAGTGATATTTATGTGTTAGTGGATAATACCATGTCTGCGGTCTTGAGACCAATTAGGATTAAGTAACAAAAGCGGTGTTAATTAATAATAACTGCCGACTTCATTAAAGACTAATATATATCCTGACCTTCCACAGCTTGCGAACTTTGTGTTTCTGTTCTTTTTTTGTTGGCAACTTGGCTTACACAGAGTCTCAAGTGGTTTACTTCTGAAATCGGTGTCTCGAGTCTTGTCATGTATCTGTTTATTGTGCATAATAATTGAGGTTATCCACTTATCATTGGTTCATTGGTATCTAGGTTTCTTGAGACCATTGGTTTTTTTGTCCACTTTCATTCTTGCTTAATTTTTATCTACAGTGATGGATGTCTTAATTTCTGGATAATTCTTGAAAAAAACTTGCATTGAACGTGATTTTTGCATTGAAATGAAAGAGGTGTAGCGAGTGTTTGTTGGTGAAGGAGAGTGGCAGAGAGGAATCAATGCTCAAAGTAGTAGGATGATCCTATGTGATATGAATTTGTTGCTGCTTGCCAGGCTTTATTTTGGCAGCCTCCAATAGCTTAGTTGATTGGCAAGTGTTATTGAACATTACATGCAACTTCAATTGGTCAATTTATGAAGAGTCAAGGAGTTTATCATGCTGAATAGTAGCTGCTAATATTTTTTTCAGCACTGGTCTAGTTAATATCCATATTCATAAATTTAGTCTACATAAAAAAAAAACAAAAAAAAATGTATATTTAACCACATAGTTGGCTAAGGTTTGCTTTGAACTAGACCTGCCAAATGGGTTGGTCGAGTTAGGTTAGAATAAAGTATTTGGGTTTGTCTTGAACACTTATCAAGGCAATAAAAAGAGTACGATATTGGTATGACTCAAGGGGTTAAGGGATTTGAATGTGCTAATCCTTTAATCATATATTTGGTCATACTACTTTTGTTCTCTAAAGTTCGATTCATTTATTGTAGATTCTTGCCTCTAGGAATACATGAAAAAAGTGATTGGGTGTAAGAAAATAATTGAATAAAGTAGGAGAGACGGGGTAAAAAAGTGGGTGGGTGTAACTGTATAAGAAAAATATGGAATAAATAAGATATAAAGTGTAAAAAATGTGTAATTATTGAGTGGTAGGAAGGGTACACCAGTAAATATTCCAAAGAAGAATGAAGTAGATGTGAGTTGAAATTTTTTGAAAGGACTCAAAATTGTAAAGCAATTTGAACTTTCTAGAACAAGGGAGTATAAAGTGTACACACTGTAAGCCAGATATACCAAATTTCAATGATTATGTTGACATTTATGACCAAATTAAATATACCATCTACATTCAACACAAACCACTATTAAAACCGACTATCCATTTAGCTAATTGTAACTTTATTATTATATGCTTCCTCTTTTGGTGTTTAAATATTGCAACAATAAGGATTCAAACACATCTGAATGCACAAATTTAATCATAAATATCTATAAATATCCACAAGTAAATATTATAAGAATTAGATATTATGAAACTATAAATTGAGACGATTCGAAAGGATCCCACATAATCACAATAAATTAGCAAATGATACCGGTAAATGTTCAATAACTCAATTGTTGCAATAATTAAAGAACTCAAGATGTATTTATTGTAATGGTTTTCGGGTTAGGTAAAAATAGGTTTTTTGGGTTGGATACAATTGGGTTCGAGTCAAGATATTTAATGCAATATTTTTGGGTTTGTTTTGGGTCTAGTGGATTCAAGGATAGCATGTACAATCCCCAATCCCCCCCCCCCCTAAAAAAATTATGAAATTCGAATTAAAGTAAATGTTTTTAATGTATAATTGTTTATTGTAGTTAATAGTTGGCACTAGTCTTGTGTTGGAATTTGTATTCCTTTTCTTTCCATGATTCATTTTGGAGTTACATTTTCAATTTTTGTTCTTTTCATTCCTTTTTTTTTTCCTTAAGAATAATTCAATTGTTTGGTTTTCATCATTTGTGTTGTACTATTCTTTTCCATGTGAGAAAATGATACTATTTCCCTCTTTGTAATACCCGTGACTGTTAATGCTAATGTGTATTTATTACTCCATATATGTCAAGGTATAAACATTATGTTTACACTAATTATTATTATTGTTATTGTTATTGTATGTGAGGTATCATTATGTTATTTAAAATTTATCCACATAAATTAATTTATCCATAAAAATATTTTTTTTTTTTTATTTTTTTTTTATTTTTTTGGTAAAAGGTTTACATTATTCTTATATTTTGAAAATTTGTGTTTCACAGTTTTCATGGACAATTCTACATCTTCCTTTTTATTTCTTGTATCATAGGTTTGTTATATTACTGCTATCCTTACACCTCATAATCTTATATTATCAGGTTTAGGGTTTGGGATAAGTTGAATTTTTACAGGTCTATGTGGATCACCTTGTTGCTTTTGCAAGTTACTCAATAGCGCAGGATATTATAGCATATCGATCTGTAGACCATACCTTATTCAACCATGATTAGTGTTTTTGGTTGTCTCTTCACAAATTTCTTGTTAGAGGTTCTTGTGTCCGTGAATTTTGTATAGATGACATTTTTGCTTGCAAATATTTTCTTCTACAATAGCTTGTTCACTTGTGAGCATAGAATGCTCGTCTTTTTACATTTTGTGGTAATGAATGGGGCAGTTGAAGTGCCTTATTTTTTGGTGGGTGGAGTGGGAGATATGTATTGTGTTAGTTTGTTAGAGATGGATGATTAAGGTGCGAGCAAAGTATATATTACATTATCTTATAAAATATTGAGAAATTTTATTATGATTGTGTTTGAATCATCAACTTACGGCATATTGTTCTTTTTGAGAATGAAAGATTTACTATGCCCTTAATTTGAAGAAGTTAGTGAATAAATTATTGTGTGTATGTATTGGAAGGGTTTGGGGGGGGGGGGGGGGGGGGGGGGGCGGGGGGAAGGAAATTTGTTGGGTAGTTATATAGTAGTGTTCCACGTAAGAGTCTGCTCACATTTTTTGTTTTTAAAATAATAAAGTAATGATTTGGTTGTAGTGCTGGAACAGTGAAATGTGTGGATCATTTTGGGTATGATTTGCTAATGACATTCAATGCTGTATTCTTTTTCTAATGCTGTAGTAATCCATGGGATAATGACCTCATGCCATTAAAATTGCTATTAAAGTTGCAGAGTTCTTGAATTGAAGGATTTAATGCTAATTCAGAGAAGATATTACTGATAAACTGCTTTAATACAAAATTTTAAAAAGTGAGCTGTTGATTGGGGTTTACTTGGAATCAGACAAGTGGTGTGTGGTCATTAATTAACCCAGTTAAAAATGACCCCTTTTTCCCTAGATATTAGGCCACTTTTCCACATATGGGCTCCCTAGAGGATAGGTCACTTTCTAAAGTAGCTATTATAGGTCGAATTTAATCTTCTGATGTTATCCTTAGCCCTTAGTTGAATCCCAAATGTAAAAAAAAATTATTTATGTGAGGTATCATTAAGTTATTTTAACATTTACTAAAAACGGCTACATGGAAAGATGATATATGGTTTTTAAGGCACTAAGGACAAGTAGTTTACTTGCTTTGTACTTTTAAATTCATGCTTTATTATTATGTTTTTTTATGTTTTTTTTTTACTAATTTATGTATGGCACCCAAGACTTGGGGTTGAATCCTCGTCTACAGTCTCTACATCATTTGTACATTGGGGCTCTCTCTGTACAGTTTATTTGATACAACCTCGTCATGTCACTATGTGCAATCTACTATGTAAATTTCTTTTTTCTTTTGCTGTTTTTGGAGAGGGGCGGAATCAACAAGAAGATATGTTCTCAGTTGATTGTGTCTCTATTGTTATATTCTAGCCATTATAGCTTGTATTTCTTCTGGTTAGGCCACCGGATTTGATCCTACAAGTTTTAAGGCTAAAATGGTTGCAAGAAGCCTTCATGGTAATTTTGACTGCTACACTTTCGATATCCCTCTTATGCTTTTCTGTTGGATATTTATTAATATTTAATATCAAAGAAGCTCATTAAGCTATCACCTTTTATCTTTTATTTTAGGTTGACTGATGAACTTGGGATGCGTTTTACTAATGATATCATTTATTCACCTGTTGTGCTTACCTGAAAGGAATTGTTGTTTTTGACTTGCAGAGAAGGAGAACTTGTGTTTGTATGGACTTCCAAATGAAACATGGGAAGTCAATCTACCTGTGGAAGAGGTACCTCCCGAGCTTCCTGAGCCAGCACTAGGTATTAATTTCGCTAGGGATGGCATGCAGGAAAAGGATTGGTTATCATTGGTTGCTGTTCACAGTGATTCATGGCTACTTGCTGTAGCCTTTTATTTTGGTGCTCGCTTTGGTTTCACCAAGAATGAAAGGTAGTTCTTATATAATTTAATTTACTAGGAATTTTATGGTTTGATGTGAAGGAGATTGATTGGATAAAATCAGGCTTCACTTTTTGTTTTTTTTGCTTGTCTGGGTTGTTTTTTTTATTTTTTTTATTGTCTGTTTATTTTTGAACCCCATGAATCATCTTAGACCATTTGACTTGTGAACTAGAACATAGAATGTTCCTAATTTTCTTATTGGGTTCAATTAGTTGATTTCAGTATCTTACATTCTTACTTAATGGGTCATGATAAGAGATATTATTAGTTTCCACCGAGTCAAGCAAGCTACAAGTGTGAGTGCCTTTGCAACAGAATGGAAGGAGCTGTAATCTTATCTCGGCAACACTTCCAGGTTAATCTCTATGTCATTTCCAATTCTGGCTGGCACCCTAGTCTATAGGATACTGAAAGTGACATTTAAGGATAGGGATGTTAGTGGGGCAGGTTAAGTGGAGATCCCTGTTGCATCCCCTCCATTTAGGTGGGTGAAGGTGAATATTTGGTGGGTGATGGGGATAAAAATTGTACCTGCCATGGGTAGTGGGGCGGGTGTGAGTTTTAGGGTGAAACCGTCCCGTACCTACCCCACTCTGCCTCGTACCCGCCTTTCTAAAGAGTAAAGACTACTAGTTATATGTGTATACCTTATTTCGTATAAATTAAAAATATTCTTAAAATACTAATTTTTTAATACAAGTATAAAATAAGGCCCTATTTTCTTCACCTTACTTTTATTGAATTGTAATTATTGTTGCTGTACTGGAATCATTTTAATTTGAATTAGATTATTGTTGTTCAACTGAAATTGTTTTTACTAGAATTACATTATTTTTTGTTGGACTTAACTTATTTTTGCTGATTTTCTATTATATTTGTTCTTTAAAGTTACTGATTTTTACCGGTTATAAATTTAAATTAATTTAATGGAAATATTTAGGATTGAAATTATTTGTATTGAATTTAAATATTTTAGATATTGTTTGAATAAGATGAAGTGAAAAGGGGTGGATAGTCAAATGGGTAAAATATTTAAATATTTTAGATATTGTTTAAATATTTAGGATTGAAATGTGTAAGGTGGGTATAGGCCAGGGTGGATAGTCAAATGGGTGGTGTGGCAGGGATGGGGATAAATTTTGTACCTGCCGTAGTTTTGAAAAGTGCTCCTTAAGCGTGCCTAGGCACAAGGCACGTTGAGTTGCAATAGTTGGCACCTTAGCGTTGTGAGGCGCAGACCGACAAAAGTTGCGTGTCTATGCGCTTGTTTCTAGGCTGCTTCTTGCGGCTTATGTTTTAAGGCGTTAATGGCTAATGTGTAAGATTTAGAAGAAAAAAATAAAATAGCATCAAACTGGAAATAGGGGGAATTCTTTTTATTAATAACATCTTTGTTTTTTTTAATTTTTATTTTATTTGGTGGGGAGGGTGGGGTCGGGAAAGGGAGTGGGAGTGGAAGGGTTAGTCCAATTCATGGTCTTGTGCATACTGCTATGATGGTCCAGCTTTGATGTGAAGACTGACTGGAAATTTCCAAAGCTCAGATGTTAGCAAGGACTGTTATTTATTTAGCTGAGGTTATATGGTCAGCTGGAAGTGGAAATTGACGGTCAGCTTTGGGCTGCCTAGTAAGGAGAAAGGATTCCTGATATCAGTCTCTGCCTTCAGGTTTACAGCGTTACTTCTGTGGACTGATGCAAATAGGATCTTCTTTGTACTTCCATTATGCCTTAATTGTTATCCCCTCCGTTTCTGAATACTTGCAGTAACTATTCATGCATTTGACCACATTAAATTACTACTCTAGGGTAATATATAAACAAGTGTTATTGTTTAATTCAAAGTATGTTGTTGGATAATTCTCAATGAAAAGTTTTCAAATTTTAATTTTTGTATTTTTTTTTTTCGTGATACGTAATTACATTTATTTAGGGTCAAACTTGTGAACTAATAAGCATGCAATACTGTAGAAAGCATTAAAAAATGGAGGGAGTCCGTATTTTTGTTGTCTGACATGTTTCTTGCTATTTTACAGACAGACAATATTTTTGGGTTTCGTTTGATTTGGCCTAGGATTTGTTCTTCATTTAAAACTCACTAATCAGAACTTATGTCAACTAAATTGAAATCAATCTGAATTTAATATTGTTGTTAATAGACACGCGGTAGCTCTAATATAAACTAACTGAAACTTCACTGCATTTTTTTTTGGAACTTGTCTTTATTAAGTTTATCTTTGTATGGTGAAAAGAATAAATCCATGTTCTTTATCAGGCAGCATTTGTATCTTGATTATTGATGAGACAATATATATATCTCTGGTTGTTAATACATGCAACAAGTTGATGCTAATATAAATTCATCTAAAGTTAACTTGTTGAATGTATTGAGAAACGGAGGAAGTATATATATTTGGGGTTTGTTTTTAGAGTTAATCTGTTGTGGGATTTGGTAACAGGAAGAAGCTATTTCAGATGATAAATGATTTACCAACTGTCTTTGAAATTCTGAACGGCAATGCTAAGCAACCAAAGGATCATTCTGGTCCTCATAACAGCAGCAGCAAAAATAAATCTGGTGGAAAGGTTGCAAATTATTTCTTGTCAATTTAATTGAAAAACTTGCAGGCTATGTTGTATTTTAAAATAACCTACTTCTCTTGCTTTCAATTCTAGCCGGCACGACAGCCCGAGAACCACATTAAGCCTGTGAAAATGCCTACACCACCGAAGGAAGTTGAGAGTGGCGGGGAAGAAGAAGAGGAAGATGATGAACAGGGAGCAACCCTGTGTGGAGCATGTGGTGACAACTATGCTTCTGATGAATTTTGGATTTGCTGTGACGTTTGTGAAAAGTGGTTCCATGGTAAATGTGTAAGAATCACACCTGCTAAAGCTGAGCATATCAAGCAGTACAAGTGCCCTGGCTGCAGTAGCAAGAGAGCTCGAGTTTGAGAACTTCTATTAGGAAGAAGCAACTAGCCAAGCAAATTGGTCAATTCAAGGTTTGGTACAGCTTCATTGTTCGAATCTAAAGTCACAATCTTGTAGACTTATATTTTCCATCGCTGTTAAGAACAGGCAGGTCAGCAGCAACCCATTTGATTGAGTGAAATTAGGTTATGTTTCTGGATGAATTAAGAATTTGTTTGACTTTTTTAATTTTAAGTTTCTTGAATTGTTAGGAATTGTTTTCCATTTATGGATTGCTGGCAAGTTGACTCACAGCAGAAGTTCATGTGCTATGTTTAATGCTCAGGTTTTTAAAGCTGTCTGCTGTCTTCGTCTTCCTCTTTCTCATCATCTATTTTTCTTAAAAGTGTTCGTCGTTGGTAAAGTTTTGTGATCCAAGGATTTGGTCATTTTTAGTATATATGACATTTTTTAGCTGCTTGGTCTTGATATCGCTAATTGAATTTAAGACTGATCTCGATCCTGTGAATTTGATCCAGTCATAAATGTGACTCTAAAAAAGAATTGTTTACAATTATACATTATAACAGGGAAGATTGATTGGAGCCCTAACAAGGCCAGGCTCACCTAAAAAGTGATCGAGTATGCAAAGTGTCAGCAACAGTGTTGACCACTGCTCTTTATTCTGCTTTCGTGTTAGCAATAAGTACTTGTAAATACATTTAATTGTAAGTAGTTAGATGAGCATGGAAATTGATTTTAGCTCACCATTAATTGATTTTGGCACAGCCCTATGTGAGAGAACATAGAAAACTGTTCTCTCACATAAAAAGTGTGCCAAAATCAATTGTGGTGTGTCAAAATCATTTCCCGATGAGCATGCAGAAACCGGGAAACTAAATGTACGACAAAGGCCAAGTTATAGTCAAATAATACAAAGCTCCTACCATACTCCTGTACTCAAAAGGGTAAAAAGATCACATAACTTAAAGATAGAGTGATTCTAGATGGAAAAGGAGTGAGCACATGTTTAGCATTATGCAAGTGAAATTTATAAATGAGATCAATAGTAGTATGTTTGTGCTGAGGCAAAATAAGACCCTGAGAATTGCATTGTACCTGGTAGCCAAGAAAATAATGAAGAATTGAAGATCCCTCTATTCCTATATAGCAAAATGCCAAAATGTGGCAAAAACAAAAATGAGACAATAAACCAAGTAGAGGCTTTTTGGATAAGACTTCTGCACCAAAACAAATCCTTACGAGCTAGACGGTATACCCTGAGTGGTCAATATCTACTAATGGGATAATGTTGAGCTGAGGTGTTACAAGATCTTATTACGTGGTACTTCCTTTGATTTAAAAGCTTTCCATTTGGTTTCTTTTGGTCGCTTTAAGAACTTTCATTTGATCTTTAAATAGAAAGAGAAACTTGATTTATCATCGTTTCATTTATGAAAATATAAGTCAGGCAAAGCTACATTGCATCATTCATGAATCTTAGCACCAAATACTAAACTTGGGGACTAACCTATAAATTAGGGGCTACCCACTTAGGCTTCTAAATCTTTGTTGTTTAGAGGTCCCTTGTATAGTTTTCGCTCTGGGCCTCAAAAATGTCCAAGACAGCACTGCACTTATCCCATCCACTTAGTTTTCAACAAAATGTTAAGAATGTTGATCGATTTGCTTACATAAAAGTGCAAAATAGTTGGGTAATCTCTAAATGGTACCTTTTCGATCACTCAAAAGCCAGCCTTTGAAGTGTTTGACCATTAGTATTTATGCTTATGTTCTATGTGTGATTGTGAGCTCATATTTATTTTAGGATCAACCAACTAGAGTGACTAAGGGTCTGTTCCGATTTATTGAAAACAACTGAACTAAACTGATTGGAAATGAACTGAACTGAACTGAACTGAAATATTTGACTATGGATTAATGCTTATTGTACTCTACACAATTATATTCGTTTACATGATGTAGGGATTCCATTCACGCACCAAGTTGAAGTCATGGAATCAAGAGAAGATCATAATATGTATGATGATAACAGAAAAGCAGCAATAGATAGTGTACGACAACAAATAACTGATCAGATATGACAGTCAATTCATAGGAATCCCAAGGTAATGGAGCAGCTTGATGGACAAGAAGAAGATGAACAACTAACCAATTATGAAAACTAGTAACTGTTCTGTAGTACTCTCATTTTGCCAAAGAGTTCAATTGTAAAAAATTATAACCATTTGAACAATGAAAATTATTATTATTATTGTTGTTGTTTGTTGTTGTTGTAATATATACTAAAAAGTATGAAATTTGGCTTTAATTATCATTAGCAATATCATTAGACATAAAGATGAACTTAAAAAGATCGGCCCAAAGGCATGCCTAAACTAAATTGTCATTAACAATATCATTAACTAAATCATATAAAACAAATAAATTAATAAAAGAACTGAACTGAACTGATTGGAGTTGAACTAAATTGAACTGAACTAAAATTAAGCTGAAAAGAACAGACTCTAAAGCCTGATTAACTCTTTTATGATAAATCAAACTGAAAAGGCTGAATTAATGTCTTTTTAGTTCAAGAACTTACTAGCTTGATTTTCCCTACTCGTGAGAGTCGATCTTGTTGGCGTATACTCACTCTTTAGTAAGTAGTAGGTTACTAGGTTCTAAAATTTAACCAATTAAAAAAAAAAAAAATCTTCTTAATTAGACCATTTTTTATGGACAACACTATAAAATATGGATTCATGATGTGCTAAGAAAACATAGAAAAAAGAACAAACGCCTCGACAAAAAATATAAGTTCATTATGTGTCAATAGAAAAAGACCAAATGTTCCGTAATGCTTAAGATTATGAGCATCATTTGTTTTTTTAATAGTTAACATGTTTTAGTATTAATAATATTCACTTTAATTAGTTACTTTAAATTCTTTTAGTAGTTTAAACTTCAAAATATAAAATAATTATGTGGGGTCTTTTTAGATTCGTAATGACAACATCTATTTGTTAAATATCATGTTTTATAATTTTTGACCTATTGACAAATGAGATTTTTGATATTTGACATCATATACTGACAAATGTACCAAAACAAACAAATGTGTCCACTAAAAAGAAGTGGAACTATGAATCTTTCCATTACAATTCTAGTTTGTTCCAAACACCTTCACCTAGAAACATCTACTTTAGGAACTACTTCATTGTTTCAATTTGATAGTCTCATTTTGACTTTTTATAGTCAAACTTTTTTAAAAAAATTAACCAAAACTAACATTAATATGTATAAAAATATAGTCATGTGATATATTGTTAGATTCATCTGGATGTTTAGATTTACAATATCAATAATTTTACTTTTTTTTTTAAATTTTTTTACTATATATATATATAGGACCAGGTTATAATGAGAACCAATCCTACAACAAGAACTAGGAACTAATCTGGACCGTCAAATCTAAGAGAAGAGGCGCGCGATCTAACGGCCCAAATTAATTCTGACAAATTGAATGAGGCACGAAAATTTCAGGCGCAATTTTCTCTCTCTTCTCTCTCTCTCTCCTCCGCCATTTTCAACTGCTTAAAATCTTCGAAAAACCACCATAACCGCAATTTTCAACTACTTAATTACTCTATATAAGCACAATTCAAGTCCTATAATCTACATTTCTTCAGTTTCGAAACAAAAATCGCGAAATTGGCGAAAATTAGGTATTCTTTCGAAACTTTGAAGTTCATACTCTTTTGTTTAATTTTGTTGCAATTTCTTACTTATTTGTGTGTTTTTTTTCTTGAATTTGTTGAATTTGAAGAAGCAGAAGTTGAATCGGAGTAGTTCGAAGTTCAATTTTGGTGTTTCGAAGTTCGATATCAGGTATTTTCGGAATTTTGTTTGTTTCTGTTCCAATTTCGTTTGATTTACTTTTGATTTGTATTTTTGATTACTTTTTTGTTTTTGAAAGTGTTTTGCAGATTATTTTAGTAATTTCTGGATGAATTTTTTGTAATTTCATTTATTTTACTTTAAGTTAGGTTAGAAATTTGATCGAAATCTTGTTTAAGTAAGTATTTTCGTGTTTGAGTGTCTTTATGTTAGGTTTTAATCTGTATGTAATTATAATCAAGTATTTGTTTGTGTATTTAGCAGTTATTTTAGTGAGTTCTAGATGAATTTGTTGTAATTTCATTTGTTTTACTTTAAATTAGGTTAGAAATTTAATCGAAATATTGTTTAAGTATGTATTTATGTATTTGAATGTCTTTGTGTAAGTCTTTGATCTGCATGCAATTATAATTATGCATTTGTTTGTTTACTTAGGTATAATTTTGGTGTAAAACAAATAGATCTTCTGGAAAATTGATCTTCATAATGTTCTGTTTAAAGTAAATGTTTCAGTTTTAAAAGTAAATACATGATACTTTAATGTTAATGAAATATTTTTATAATAATTTGATATGACTAATGTTTCATTTTATTTTGAATTGCATGCAGATTAAAATGAAGAAAACTTTAAAGAAAACAGTTGTAGCTAGAAATAAATCTCCAAAGAAACTTGTTGCAGCTATGAATAAATCTCTAAAGAAACCTGTTGCAGCTAAGAAATCTCCAAAGAAACATGTTGCAGGTATATTATGTTGAATATTTGTAAAGTAAATACAACATGGATAGTAGTGTTGGATAAGATTTATTAATCTTATTTTTTCACTTTGACAGTAGGTGATAAGGATGAAAAGTTGACAAAAATGAAGAGGCTAAAGCAACTTGAACCTTTAGAAGGTTATATAAAATTAATTATTATCGTATATCATCATTTAGGTTAAAAATAATTGATGTACTTTAAATGCTTTGTTATTTACTTTTAAATGTAATAGATTTACTTTTAAAAATGAATTACTTAATGATGTGTATGGGTGTTTGTGATGCTCTATTCTTAAGCAACTTACACTTTAAAAAGGTTAAGAAAAGTTAAATATTTCTTATATTAAAAATTGGTGTATAGGGATGTTTATTGTGATGATGTTATTTTGGATTCATATATGATATGATGTGTCTTGTACTATAATTTGATTATGCTATTTGATATGATGGTTATAGAAGTTAATAGAATAGGACATAAAGTAAATAAAATACCTAATATGATTCATTGTTTATGAAATTACAGGAACCAAAAAAAGAAAACCAGAACCAGCTGCTGAAGATGATTATAAACGAGAAGATGAACATTCAAATAACGAAGAGAGCGATATAAAACCACCTCTAAAGAATAGACCAAAAAAAGAGAAAAAAGATAAAGAGATACAAGAGATTGTAGTTGTTGATGATGAAGCTGTGGAAGACAATGGTGGTATTATAATAAAAAAGACACACTACAGACCAAATGATGTAATAGATTTGATGAAGGATTTCAGTGAAGATCAGAAAAAGGCAGTGTCAGACATAGGCTTTGGAGGATTATTTGAACTGAAACTGAC